GCCTTCCTTAACTCCACTCGCCCTCTTAACTCTGTCACATCACTGTTTTATTTCTTCTTGAGCTAGGGTGATTCTATATTTTCTCCCCAGTTTCTTTTTTGAGAATGGAAGGGATTGCTGCTATTACACACAGGAATAGCAGCAAACAAGAACTGTAAACAGGGAAGATTGGGCACCACTCTATTCAGAGCATTTGCTACTTCATAGCATTTTATATCCCAAAGTAATAGACACTATATTGTCCATTTATTTATGTACTGGTAAGCTCCGTGAGACAGGAAATTTGAGTTCTTGTTCTAGGAATGCATCATCTAGAAGAGTCCTTGACATATACTGAGTACGTTCTTAGTAACTATCTGTGGACTGAATTGGATGACCCAATCATGCTCCATGTTCTGCATGGAACTGAGCAGCCTGCTGAGTGGGGAATCAAAAAGTCATAAAGGAGAAATTCTGAAAATATTCCTTCCTTCAAGATAGGTAGAAAAAGGAGACAACTTTTAACATTTAGATTTCAATCTTGCAGCATTCCTGATAAAAAGAGCCTGGCAGATGTGTACTTGAACTGTCAACTGATATGTTACTTGTGATGAAAACCATGTTCAGTGGTCTCCAGGACGGGCCTGGTTTGGGGAGCAGACCAGTGGATGTAATGGTCATGACACTTTGTAATCCAGTGGATGATTAATCTGTAGAGAACTTGCTTACACGCAATGGAATAGCTGGGTTCACTTGACTCAGCCTACAGGGAGAAAGGAAGAGCAACTTTAGAACAGGCTGCCATCTGGGTTTATTTATTCCCTGAGGAGGTAGGGAAGCCAGCAAGATATAAAGGAACAAGCACCTTTCTGTGTGTGTCTAGGAGTTAATTGATGTGGACACAGTCTCTCTCTCTCTCTTCTCTCTCTCTCTCTCTCTCTCTCTCTCTCTCTCTCTCTCTCTCTCAGCAGAGTCCAAAAGCCCAAGAAGTTGGTTCTGAACAGAGAAGGCTGATGTAATTAATTCTATCTTACCCCAAACCAGACGATCTTTTTTATTAACCAATGTAGGTTTTAGTGGTTTAGTAACTTCTTTTAAGTTCTTTTCTTTTCCAGATAGATCTGGCTCTACCTTTTTGTTTAAGCCCCCAAATGAGATGGTCATGAATGTTATAATTTTGTGTAACTCCAGGATAAACATTCAATGATATCTTATACCTTATTTTTTAAAATAAAATAATGAATGCTCTCCAATATGTTATATTTATATTGATAGGTTCTGCTTTTTGTTCAACAAAGTGCTTGATAGATAATCATTGAGGAAGCTGAATTACAGAGATTTTAAATGACAAAAATACAGACGCCTTTATACAGAGGTAAGACCATTCAAAGTCACACAAAGATTGAGAAAACTATAACACTAATTCTATCAGTGGGTCAGACCTGTACTTTGAATAAATCAACACATGCCCTGTTAGCTTCATTATTTTGAATCAAATAGTCTCATATTTTTGTAAGACCAGGAATGCCTTTGCTGCCCATTCAAAAACGTTCATCTTCATTCTCCTTGCACTGTACTGTCAAAGTTTCATCACCTGCTGCCACTAGGTGGTGCTTGTCATTGAAACAAAAATTCTTCCTCCTATCTTTCTATTTTCTTCAGGTGTCTGTTAGAACCAAGGACAACATGAAAAATAAAAAACTTAATTGACAGGCTAAATAGTGGCTGGGTATTCTAGAAGGTCGTTTAGCAGAGTGTTACGGATTAAAAAAATTAGTATCAGGAAAGATTACACTGTTTTTTCAATACCATTAATTTCCCTGTCCATTCTTCTTGTCACCAAACTCTATGATCCCCAAGACAAAAAGAACAATTAAATATTTCTTTGGGCTCATGAGAATCAAGGGACATAACTCAATTTTTAGGATATGTGAAAAAAAGGTCTCAGGAATCTTGTCCTCACCTGGAACAGCAATAGCAAAAAAGATGACCACATGCAGAGTTTACATGAAAAATTAATCAATGACCTTTCAAAGAAAAAAACACCTGTATCTCAATTACTGGGCAATAATCAATAGGGAAAGGAAATGAAAAATGTTCTTTTAATTATGAGATAACAAACATCAAGTAAAGAGAATGATAGCAGAGATTGTTGGCTTGGCAAAAACAACTCTTTTTCTCATTAATTTAGGACATAGAAAACCTCACCCCATCATACTCTCATTCTCTCCCTACTTCTCACTTCACATACCATCTTTATGCACACTTTAGGGTAAAATATTGCCAATCTTGATGGTCAAATACCTGCACGGTCACCTATATGGTTTGTGTGAAGGCCGGTTTGACATATTTTGCTGCCATGTATTGGAAAATATAAGTTTCTTGGACTTTTTCTTTCCCAAACATTCACCAATGGTGACCATTCATGGCTGGTTTATGATTACTGTAATGAGAAAATTCCAGCTATGTTGAAATACATAATCCAGAATGTCATAAACTGCTGACCATTGATGGCAAATACTTAGTACAAAAGTGGCTTCACTTTGCCTCTGAGCTTACTTTAGGGCTGCTGAGTTTTGCTGTGTGCCCAGATAGTGAGTGTTAATTTTAAAAACAGTCTAAAAAGGGGGGGGAGTCTAAAAAGTCTAAAAAGGGGAGTACAGTAGGAGGGATTATGGTCAAAATAAGGGGGGTGGGAATTGTATGGGGACTATAATCAAGATGAAAAAGCATACATTGTGCAAAAATGAAAAATGATGTAAAATATATATATAAAATAAAATATAAAAAAAGTAAATCCTTTTTTTAAAAAAACAGTCTAAAAACAAAATATAATCATGTAGTCAATGGCTTTATTTTTGTTTTATTTAAATCTAAATTTTTGCTTTATCTTCTGTTCTGAATTTCCAACATCACTGCAATGGGAGTCATGTAGAATGTATAACATATATGTGAGTAAGATGTAATAACACAGTAGGACATCATTACGTTTAATTTCAGAAATTAGACAGCTTTGGGTGGTTCCTATTGCTTTCTGAGCATTGACTATGTATTTTAAATACACCAGCTTAAAAAAAAAAAGAGAGATTCAAGCTCTACACCTGTTTCCCAAATAGCCATGAGGCACCCTGGATCTCTTCCAATCTTAAATACTGGAAAGAAAAGTCTCTGTCTCCAAATTATTTTCCTCCAGATTCTCCCCCACCCCCACCCCGGTCTTATTAGTTATAGCTTAGTATTAGGAAGACTTGGAATCATGAGCAGTTAGTATGTGAAATTATTTCTCCTGGGCTTTATGCATTTTGGTGGCTACTGTTGAAAATGCAGTTTGGTTAGCGACTTCCATATGTGTGTATGTGTATATATCTGCATATATTATATGTACAATAGGAAATGCACATACATTTGCATCATATACTGTGTGGCTCAAATTCATTAAGTGGCTACTCTCAGTACTCAGAACATTAGATGGTGTCAATATTGACAATCTTCATATCTTAGTGGTTTACTTAACCTAATATAATGGGGCTGGATCACTGACGTTATTTACTTGGCAAACGGTACTTAAACCTTCATTAATTAGCATTAGAACAGAATGAATCCAGTATCGCTTTGGATGGCTGAAAATGTTTCCCAAACTGCTACAGGAAGACAGCCATAAATGACATAAGCAAGAGACAAGACTGGGGACCTTGCTCTCCCCTGACAGCCTTTGCTAAAGGTGAAAGATGTCTTAATACCGTGTGCTGGCAGCACCCTACCTCTCTTTCTTAAGTTTTACCAAGTTGCGTCCCGTGATCTGCAAGTGGGAAACGCAAGCAACTTCAGGTCTGCCTGAGAGAATAGGTTCTCACCAGCAAGAAACTCTTGTAAATCCGACACAAACTCTTGTAAATCGCCCCGACGGGGCGTGAGGGAGAAGCAGCCCAGGAGGACGAAGGCGGTCCCTCGGGAGCCAGGTCGTCCGCCAGCTCCGGGCGGGCGCAGCGCGCAGGAGTCGGAGCCCCCGGCGGAGGCGGTGCAGCCCGTGGCCCCTCCCTGCCGCCGCGGAAGCCCGGGCGGCTGACGCCGAGCGGTGGCCTGGAGCGGCGGGGGCCGGGCGGGCGCGAGCGAGGGCAGGGCAGGGGCCGGCCGAGGCCACTCGCGGCTTTAAATATGGCTCGCAGGCCCGCGCTCGTGGCACAGCCTGCGCCACCGCCTCCCTCCCCGCGCCCCCGTCCCCCGCCTGGCTCCCGAGGGGCTCCCGGGCCGGGCACCGCTGCGGCAGCGTTAGTTACTGGCAGAACATCGGAGAGCCCCATAAATATGCAGGAGCTGCAGAACGCAAAGTAGAGTGGGCGCCCGCGCTCCCACACGCTCACTCGCCGCGCACCACGCGTGCTGTGCAGACAACCCCCGCCCCCGCGCCCCCGCGCCCCCGCGCCCCTTCTCCCCGTCCCCGCGAGCCGTGAAGGTTCCAGTCCTGCCGCCTCTGAGGACCCTCCCGCCCCGGCGCGCCAGCCCCGCTCTCGCCTCCCTGGGGCCGGAGCGCGCAAAGTTGTGACTCCTCGGGAGCGGGTGGCTGGCGCCCCAATCGCTCCGCGCCTCGCGCCGACAACTTCCCGCGGCTCGTCCCCGCCGCGCCCCGCGCCCGCGCCTCCCGGGAGCCCGAGGGCCCCCCAGCCTGCAGCCCCGGCGACGCGCCGGGCAGTGCTTGGGTGGCGGCGGCGGCCGTGGTGGCAGCGCAGGCGGCAGCGGCGGCTGTGGCCGCTGCAGCCCCACACTCCGCGGCCAAACTGGAGGAGCGACGGAAGCCGGACCCCAGGAGGTGAGCGCCGGGTCGGGGCGGCGCCGGGAGGGTGGGAGCAGCGCCGCGAGCGCCGGGGCGGCGGGCGCGGGGGCTGGTCCGGGAGGGCGCGCGGGCAGCCGCGGAGGCGCTCAGGGCAGGGATACGGAGGTCACTTGCCCGCCGGGCATCCCCTGGGCTGGACGCCGGCGGAGTGGGGAAGCTGCTTCGCTGGAAAAGTACCACCCCAACCCCCCAACCCCTCCTCCTCCTCATCGTTTGGAGAAGGAGTTTGGGAGGTCGCGCTTCTCCCCTGTAGCTCCTCGCATATCACCGGGCGTTGTTGCTGGGACCGCGGGGTCAGTGTGCGCGGCTGGCTGGGCTCCAGCGCAGTGACACGTGTGTTCCTGGGACCCTGGGTGGTCCCAGTGTGGCTGGGCACCTGCTTGAGGGGTAAACATCACGAACCCACCAGCCAGGGAGTCTTGGAAGACTCGCTGCTGTCGAGACCAGGGCCCCCACTTCACTGCCAGCTCTGGGACGGAGCATTCACATCTCTCTGGCACGCCGAAAGCAGGGGGTGAGTCAGGCAGATTCTCTGCAAGTGGCACACACACAATTATTTGCAGTGAGTTTGGAGGAGCGAGCCCGAGGTTAAACTGGGATTTCTCTTGGGCAGCGACAGCGGAGCGCTTCCTCAGGTACTGGGCAGCATGTGCGCCTTGACAAGAAAAGGTGGTTTCTTTTTTCCTAAACGCATTTCATCCAGTCCTTGCCAGTTTCTTAATAACAGTCACCAAACGAAGGCAGGAATTGGGGACTATATCACCAAACTGCAGCAGATACCACGAGGAAAAAGCTCTTAGGCAACAAAAGAAAAAAACCCCAAATACCAGAACTCCACGTGAAAGATGGAGAAGGAGCCATTCTACCTCTGTTCTACCACAGAAGCATTTTTTCCCCAGTTACTTGTGAAACTTCTGTTTTCTCCACTCCTCATTCCTTCTCAAGGCCTTACCTTCTGGCATAATTGCCCAGAGCAAACTCCTTCTAGTTTTGATAGTGAAAAGCAGTTAACCACTTTGACTTTGGTTTACCCTCCTCATTTCTTTTCCCTTTTCAATTCAGTCCTGGAGAGAAGTTGCTTCTCATGGGAACTCATCAACTATGCACATGTCCTATGCACATATTGTCTCAAAACCTGAAACAATTCTTGTCCTAAAAGACATTGTGTTGTACTAAATTTCCCTGTTTTCTTGCATTTGGAATTTAGAGTTAGAATATTACTTGAATTAAAGTGTATATTGTTCATTAGAGCTTGCTTTTTTCATTTTGATTGGAAAAGATTCTTCCATACAGTTAGAACGGTATTCAATAGCTTCTTATAGTCAATATAATGTGTTTTGGAAAAGCTGTTAAGAACTCTCCTCTCTGTGTCTATCACATTAGCATTTAGATAATTTTCATGGTCATTATAGCACTCAGATTGTATAATTTCATTAAAGGAAGCATATCTGCTGATTTTTCCATGGCTTTAACAACTGAGGAAAAAACTTTTACTTTCATTTTAAAATTAAATATAGTGACAGGATTCTGTTTTCTTTATATTTAATCTTGAAATTGAGTGGTTTTTTTGCTTTATTTTTTTATCCCAGAGTCTCTGATAAGATAATGAAAAACTGCCATATATGTGTGTGTGTGTGTGTGTGTGTGTGTGTGTGTGTGTGTTCCAGATAGGTAGAGAAAAGTAGTACTCTTATGAACTATTGAGACATAGGACACTTATGAGTGTGATGGTGGGAGGGATGAAATGAAATATTTGGATAGCTCCAAGCTTGTCGACCTTTGAGAAAACAGAAAACTCAGAACCCCAAACATTTTATATGTGTGTTATCAAAATGAGGTTTTTGATATCATTTAATGCTTTGGGGTCATTCTGGAGACTTACTAACGTATGTATGACACCTCAACCAATGAAATTACCAGAATATACTCTCAGTTTATAGTGCTGTATCTCCTTTAGTTCATTTTGTCTGCATAAAATAACTTTAATGTTTGACTGTTAGTGTTATTAGTTTTTTTTTTTAAATGATCAGGATGCATTTTGAATTTACACTAATTGGTGGAAAGAACACAGGGAATTGTATTTAGAAAAAGATGTGACAGAAATTGGGTAATGTTTGGGACAACTTTCAGCATTCTCTGGTGGCAGTTTCATTTTTTACTGAACTCTGGCAAATAGATTTTTGGGGTTCTGATCCCTTGTTCTGATAACAAGATAGTCTGGCCATAACTTTCATCTTAAAGAAAAACTCAACACTTAAGGAAAGGAAATAGGAAAGGAAATACATGCTAGCTGGTGATTAGTAGGTAGTCTGGTTTCTCTGCCTGCCTCTGAGGGCGCTGTAGTCCACCAGGACTACTATTGCTAGGGGAAAGAGTCCTGAGAGAATTTACTGCTAAGTGTGGCAGCACACATCATCTGCTTGTTTCTTGGTTGCTTTGTGTTCATTTTGATAACACGAATGAAATCTAAAACAGGAGTGGATCGATATTAAGATTGGAAATGGGAAGAACAAATTGAGAAGAGAAAAATCTAACACGACAGTTTCTAAGTAGTTTTTCTTGATTGCTAAATGGAAGGATTCAAGGTTTATGATGTAAAGGGGCAAAAGAACTACACGCAGAATATGTATCTCAGTTCTCGCTTTTGATGTAGTCTCTGAGGCCGACCTGTGATTTATCAAATCGATGTATAATGAGGGAGTCATTTACCAAAATGTATAGTTTGGGAACATCCAGGAAGTTAACGAGACTTTACAAAACTAGATCTTGCTGCTGTCAGGAATTTTTTACATAATGCAAGAATTTTAAAGGAACTGAAAAATGATATTTATTTCATATAATGTCAAGCTAAGTAGTATCCCAGGTACATATTGCCTTTCTTTCCATACCTAGCCATTTTATATGTTGTGTCACCAAATAGAAAATATGCAGCTATACTGATATGAAAATAATATTTTATATCTTCCCCTATGGTGCACAACCATTAGTTGTTTTTCCAGCAGTGGAGATGGATTCTCCTAACCTACTGTTTCACTCAATTCTTTTGTCTGATGTACATTTACACACACACACATACACACACACCCCTCATTTATAGAGGTGGCTGAGTTTATTTTCTCTAAAGCCATATTTATGACTGTCATAATGATTTTGTGGCAATGACTTTTGCTCTTTTGTATTTGAAGCAGTGTAATGGCATTTCATACAAGGCATAAACAGGACAGTGAGCTATGAGTGGTGATGGATTTACTTAGCTGCTGTGACAAAGAAGAGATAAAACTTTTCTCCAATCTTCCTTATGTTGTTCATAATTTTATTCCTTAACGGTAAGGTCTTACTTGCCTCTGAATTTTGTGTTTGAAAAAGATGGTTGTAGAAACAACAATGGTGAAACAGCTTTAGTTGTTTTTATAAGCCAACCCTGCAAATTAAGTATATGTAAGGGATTATTATACTCACTGGAAAGATGAGGAAACTAAGACATAGAAAACTCTATATGCTTTTCTTCAACTAAATGGAAAATTATTGGGAGAGGTAGGAATAAACGTTTTAGCTTTGAACTAGTGATAGTTTTTATTAAATGACTGTCACTGATGAAGGTTGTTTTAGTCACAGCAGAGGAAGGAGATAGCAGTTTATCCTGGTTTAAAGTGGTGTTTTCCATTCCCTGTTGTTAATTCTGCTCAGCAGCATTGCCCACTTGCCCCAATTTAATTTTGGGTCTTGAAATTATAGGGGGTATTTCACTAGTGAAGAATCTTCAGTTTGTGTTTATAAATTTTAGCTCCTGTCATAAGAACTAACTTTTGTTTTCATGGAAATGGGTAAAGAAAGGAGTTATGTAAAATTTGGGTGTTAAATGAGATGAATAACCACCAACTGATAGTTCAGGTTTTGGTTTTCACTTTGTAGATTATTGTGTAGAAAAAGATATCCTTAGTTTAACTTCAACTTCTGTGTCAGAAATCCTTAAAAAAAGTTTAAATAAAGCGCAGTATATTTTGGAGGGATTTTAAAAATCAAAATTATAAAATCAATGAGGAAAATATATTATCTTTAAAACATAGTTTTTATGAATTTAAGAAAACTATTCAAAATATCTAGAAGTTAGAAGTTTCTTCTGTTTTTTGTAAATATATTTACTGATTTGTGAATAACTATATGATTTGCAAATAAGTAAACTTGTGGGATCTGGAATCTTATGTCAGTTAATCCTAGCTTTCACTGATAGCAGTCAGTAACAATTTAATCTGTTTGGAACTCTTGTATTTAGCAGAGTTTCCAGAAAAAAAGCATCTGAGTAGACAAAAAGACATACATTACAGAGACTTCTTTATTCATACAAGTAATCTGTTTACTTTTAATTCAGATAGTTCTAACGTGATTGATGGTAAGATTTCTAATCCCATAGCAAGCAGTAAACTACCAATCAAAAGATAGACATGGCCTGATATTAGCAGTTATATGGATAGCTTTGAGAAGTGCCAGGAGATAGCTTGGTAGTACAGGAAGTGACCTAAAAGTAGGTCAAGAACTAAAGCAAGCATACTGGTTGAGGACTATTTAGGCATATACTGACAGCATCACTTCATTACCCACACGTCTCCCTCCTTCCTTTTCTCCTTACTTACTTTTTCCTGTTCTTCTTTTTCCCTTCTAAGCTTATATTGAAATATAACATGTATGAGAAAGTACATGTCATTAAATCATGAGTTAACAGCTTGCAGTAATTTATTTAAGGGAACATATCCATGCAGTCAGCGCCAAGGCCAAGATATAGGCCATTGTTAAAGCCAAAAGCCCCTCCTCCCACTATATCATAATTTCCCCCCAAAGGTAACTTCTCTCCTAGTTTCTGTGACTGTGGGTTACTGTTATCAATTATTAAACTTTCTGACAAGCAACTCTTTTGCTCAACTGTATGTTGTAAGATTTATTTATGTTTTTTTTGTTGTACCAGTTGTTTATGCTTGTTGCTCTGTAGTGTTCCACTTTATGAGAATGTCACAAATCACTTACCATTTTACCTTTGCTGGACCTTTGGATTGTTTCTAGTTTTTACTGATTATGAATAATGCTGCTATGAACATTTTTACATTTATCTTTTGGTAAACACGTGGGTTGTGTGTGTTGTGAGTTGAATCACTGAGCCAGCCTTAGTAGATAGTGATTCAAAGGTGCTTCAAAAAGGTGGTACTAATTCATACTCTTATCAGCATCTTTGAGAGTTTCCATTTCTCCATATCTTTACAAACAACTGGTGTCTGTCTTTTTTATTTGAGTCATTTTAGTGGATGTTTAGTGACATCACATTGTGGTTTGATTTTGTATTCCCTAGAGTATCTTTTAGACCTTTTTAATTGTTTACTGTCAAGTACTTGTTCAGATTCTTTTGATCATGGAATTTTTATCCAATATATTGTCTCAAGTGAGAACGATTTTGATATCTGGGGAGTAAATGTCTCTTATTTATTTGGAAAACTTAGCTAACCAAGCAATGCCATTCTCCAGTGT